GTCCCATCTTGTCGATATTCACTCACATCTACACCTTCATCTCGACTCTTCCCGACGACGGGCTTGAGTATGAGCTTCCGTCTTCGGTTCGCGACGAGTTGCAAGCGTGCACGTACCTAGCTTTCGTTGCGATGACCGACCTACGGGCGACGCCTTGCCCTGAAGTGCACGGCACGGATGCCTCCCTCGGCTGGGGCGGGGTTGTCCGCAGCGACATCAGTTCGCACCTGTCGCAAGAATTGTGGCGGCGCTCCGAGCATGGCGGCTGGCATACTCGTCTCCACGACCGCCATCTGCTCATGGTTCTGAGCCGCGGGGAACCTTTAGGCCCCGAGTTGACCCAGCTGCACCGCGAGGCCGGGCTTCCTTCCCTCGAGCTCCCCATCGCACCGCGCTGGGTCAGTGAGTTGTCGGAGGCGCTGCGTTTCCGCTTAGCTTATAAGTGGGAATTTCGCATGCCCCGCCACATCAACATCCTGGAGACCACCGTGTTCAAGAGTCTGTGCAAGTACTGTTGCATCCGCAACCCTGACTCACGGATCCCTGTTCTCTTGGATTCTCAAGTGGCACTAGGCGCGGCCGCCCACGGTCGGAGCAGCAGCCCTGGCCTTTCGCATGTGTTGAGCACCTCCTTGCCGTACATTTTGGGGGGCGGGCTCTACATGGGCGGGCTCTATGTTCCGACCGACGTCCACCGAGCGGACGACCCCACGCGCAATCGCCCTGTTCGCCCCCCCTCGCGTGTCGAGCCTGCTTGGTTGCTTGACATCGACGAGGGGCGCTTTGAGCGATTCGACATGATAGCGGCCGCCGACGCCGCATCCGCCTACCCGACTTGTCTGTGGGGCCGGTTCGTGCTGCAAGTTCTGGCTCGCAGCCCCGCCGCGGGCGCGGGCCCGCTCGGGCTCCCCGGGGATCGCCACGTGCGAGCGCCAGCCCAGGTCGACAGGGGAGACGCGACGGCCTCCGCCGAGGCCCGCGGCGCATATGAAAGCGCCGCGCCGCGCAGGGGGACTCCCTTTTCCGTCGAGGTGCCCTCGGGCGCGGCAGCGGTGAGCTTCTCCGCGTCGCGATGCACTCGCGCCCGTGACAGCCTGCCGGCCGCCCCTCGGGTACCAAGCCCTTCGCCGTCCCCACCGGTAGGCATGCGCCTCTCCAGCGATGCTGTTACGGCCCCGCAGGGAGGAGTTCGTGCCGCCGGCGGGGGGCCAGGAGAGGGTGCGCCCGAGCGGAGGTCACGCGCCAAGTGCGACGCAATCGCCGCTGCTCGACCTGGTACGCCTGCGGGGGACACTCACCCCGTCTCGCTTCTGTCGAAGGCAACCGGCTCGGCTCCCGCTTCGTTGGGGGGTCTTCTGGGTCGTCCACCCGTCACGATTCAGACTCGCCACCGCCAAGCTCGTGCCGCCAAACTTGCTGCTGCGCACGGCCTGCTCCACCTGGAGCGCGGTGCGACCACTGATCGCGTGAACGCTCAGTTTCGACGGCTGGGTTGGGCCTGCCATCCCGGCCGCGATACGTCGATCGAGGCCAGCAGGAAATGGCGTGCTCTCTGTGACGCCAAAGCCTTCATCCTCGGGCCTGGGCGCGATGTGGTTGGCTCCGATGCCCCGGCCTCTGGCGGCGCTACTCGCCGTGCTTCAGGCGGAGGGCTCTTGGCGGCGGGAAGGCGTGACGACACGAACCGCTCGCGCGGGGTCACCACTCGGGATTCGGCTCTCGACGCCTCCCTTGGTGCTCGCCCCCGCGGCGTGCCGGGGGAGCGTCGGAACGCCCATGGTGCGTATCCAAACGCAGAGCCGAGCGCGGTCGCTAGCTGGTGCGATTCAGGGTCGCGGGCTGCGCCACGTTGCGCAGTGCAGACCCCCGCGATGCCCACTGCCGCCATGCGACGCACGCAAGCTCGCCTGGAGGCCGACCTGAGGGCCGCCCATACCGCGGTCGCGGCGCTCCCGTCCTTTCGAGCCAGCACCTTGCCCCCCTTGCCAGGGTGCCGCACCGACGCCCATAGCGTCGCGCCGCGCGCCAGCTCTGCGCCTGCCCTGCTGGCCGGGCGCTCGCAGGGCGCAGCGGTTATGCTGCGTGCTACCCGCGAGCGGGCTGCCATTGCGGCCACCGCCGGGGCGGCACAACCCAGAGCCGTGCTTCCGTGGGGCCACAGCGCAGCACGCAGCGAGGTGTCGCCGGTTCCCAGCCTTCCCGACTCCTGCTGCGCCGACAAGCGTGCCGACTCCTGCGACGCCCAGCTCACCGAGTCCCGCGGCGACCAGCTCACTGACTGTCATCCCTCCCAGCTCACCGACTTTCGCACCGACCAGCTCGCTGACTCCCGCGTCGACCAGATCGCCGACTCGCGTGCCGAGGGGCTCGCCGACGCCCGTGCCGTCCAGCGCGCTGACGCCTTCACTTGGTCCGACTCCCGTGCCGATCCGCTCACCGGGTTAGCACTGCGCACCGGCCGGGTCGTGGGCCCGACGACCACGGTTGCGAAGCGCGTGCG